AGCCTCCGCGCGATGACGCGGGGCCGACGCGGCCACAGAACCGCGCGCCGCGTCCCCGCTCCCGCAGGCCCGGGCCGCGTGGTCGGGGGCAGGGCGCGTCCCCCTGTGCGCCTCCGTCGTGGACACTTCTAATCCGTAAAGTGGGGCCAAGAACTGGCGGTGCCCTGGCCGCTTCGCAAACTGCCGGCCGCGGGGAGGCGAGCGGGAGCCGCTGCCGCGGGCGCGGGGTCTTTCCGGGCGCGGCCCTCCCGGCCCGGCGCGGGTCTGCCCGCACACGGCCCCTGCGTCGACCGGCCCGTCTGGGCCCGGACTCTGGGCCTGCACCCTCCGAGCCTCGGCCTCCCCGCCTGGGGACCGGCCCGAGGTCTCCCCGCTCCTGAGCGGGGGAGGAGCGAAGCGCCGCGGGTGGGCCTCGCGGAGCGGCCTCCGTGTCCCCGGGGGCGGCCGGGCCCGTGTTCTGGGGGGCCCGCGCCCGCCCTCCTCCAGCCCTTGGCGATCGGCCCCTGTTTCCCAGGCCAGCTGGGTGCGGAGGGGGCGGAGGGGCCGGAGGGGCCGGAGGGCCGGGCAGTATCTCCCGGGCTGGTACGGAAGGCCGGGCCAGTGTCCTCCCGTCCTGGCCCCGCTCCCGGGCCTGGCTGCTTTTCACCCCTCCCGAGTCGCGCCCGCGACCTTTGCCGATTTCTCCACCAAAGCCCCCGAGTGCGCAGTGAGCGGGCCACCGCCCCGGGGAGGCACGGCCCTCCCAGCAGCCAGGCTGCCCAACTCTGCGACCCTGAGCCACCGCAGTAGCTGTGTGGGCTCGGGCAGGGGATTGGCCCCCTGCCCGTCTGTGAGGGGGACCGAGGTGCCCTTAGCACGAGGCCTGCGTTCTATCAGGCCGTATGGGCGTGATGAACTCTTCTGCACTCCACAAACCGAAGATCCGATCGGGTGGGCAGCAGGGCCAAGGTCAGGTCGCAGCGAGTTAGGTCACCGAGCTGCGGGTTCTTCTCTGTCCTGTGATCACGGAGCCTCCCATATGCCAGGCCCTGTCTAGGTGCTGGGGCTGCAACAAGGCAGCGGGAGCCGGGCCTGTGGGGCGGCTGGGAGGCACCTGGAGCAGCGTGTGTGGGGCCAGGAGCATGCCTCTCTTACTTCCCTGGGCAGTAGGCACTCCCCGCTCGTCTGACAAGGAGGAAACTGAGGCACAGCTGGCAGGCATCGTGGGTGCTGGAACCCAGTGCCTGCCTCACCAGTGATGGCCTCCCGTCTCCCCCGCGCCTCCCCCCTGCTGCCAGGAGGGGTTTCTAAGTGAAACTGAAAGTATGGAAAATGCAAATCACTCTCAAGATTTATCGGAAAAAGGGATCTTCCACTAAACCCTGGTCTAGACCCTCCTCCTGACCCCAGGCATGTCCACACCACTGCGGTGGGGCTGGGCTGGTGGCAGCGGGTTGCCCAGGGCCCTGGCCCAACCCCAGCTGGGCCCGCCCGCTGTGTGAGGAGGCTGGTTCCCCGTCTGCTCACGAGGCGTCTGGACCTGACCCCTCAAGTGTCTGCCCAGCTGGGGGGTCTGGGGTCCAGGATGTGGGGGCCGCCCTGACCACAGCCTCAGATTCCACACCCCATGGGTCAGGCTCCCAAGCCTCTGTGGTGGGAGGGCGTGGGCCCTCAGGTCCCCCTCTCTGTCCCATGGAGGAGTAGCCTCTGTTGGCCCACTTCGCAGCCAAGGAAACTGAGGCTCACAGAGGTGGCCGCTGCCTCGGTCCTGCCTCAGAGGCTGCTGTGAGCGGGGTCGCAGCCGTGCCTGGGGGGTGGGCACGTCTGGGTGCGGTGGCCGTTACAGTAGCTGTTACTGCTACTCCCACATAACCCGCACCCAGCTGATGACAAGCAGCTGGAAATCTAGATTTTTAAGTGTTGGCACCATTCGCACAAAAGCCCTTGCCCCTCCCCCAGCTGCATGGGACAAGCTCCCATCCCAGTCTGTCCTGGCTCCTGGAGGGGCCAGGGAGAGGGCGACAAGAGAGAGAGCACTGAGGGTGTAGTGGGGGCCGGGGGTGAGGGGCAAGTTGGGGGAGGAGGTACGGGAGAGGCCTGGAGAGAGGGCTCCATCCCCGCCTGTCCCATGTGGTGACAGGGTCTCGGTGGGCGGTGCAGGGCTGCCACCAGAAGGCTCAGGGCACCGGGTCTCTCCTGTGGGCCCCACAGCAGCTCCAAGCTCAGGCTCGTTGTTCCCTCCATCCAGGAGCAGGGAGCCAGGGAAGATGGTGGTGCAACAGTTGGGCATGCAGAGCAGGGTTCCATCCTCCAGGGTGCCTGTTCCTATGTGTCCTCAGGGAGGGAGTTCCCTGGTGCTGTGTCATCCTCGCTTGCCTGTGAAGTGTCTTCTGTTTCTCAGAATGTTCCTGGCACAGACTGAAAGGGGCAGTGCCCACCGTGTGTCCCCACAGCTACCTGGGGTTTCACATCCTCCTGGAGAGACTGGAGAGTGTGCAAGGCCTCCTGGAGAGTGTGCAAGGCCGGCTCCCAGACACTGGACTGAGGCGAGGATCCGTGGGGACGTGACCGTCGGGGGGTGCCTTGGGAGAGGGCGTGGGCTGGGGAAGGACAGGCCGGCCAACCGTGCTCCAGCAGACAGATGCAGGGACACCGCCGAGGGGCTGCGTGTGCAACGAGCGCACACACACAGACACACGCAAACGAGTGTGCAGGCACAGACACTCGCAGCGCAGTGTCGAGTTCACCTGCTCTGTCCACTGTGTGACTTCTGCACTTCCTGCCTGTGAACTGGTGATGCCGAGGAGGGGAAGTGACCTAGCCCTGTGAGGCCGAGACCTGTGCCCGGCACGTGAGGGAGGTGGACTCCACCCAGGGCCGGGGCGGCTTCACGCCCCGTCTGGGCCAGAGAGCAGGACGCCCAGGGCCCCGATGTCACCTGGGGCCAGGGAGGACGTGCGTTCAGACAAACCACGTTTTGTGGACGGGAGCTTTCGGGAGTGGCCGGCGCCTGGACCCTCTCTCTCTCTGAGAGTCTGAGGCTGGACAGGGGGCTGGGCGTGCCCGGGGCACCCGGGCTGAGCAGGCAGGCCTGTGCTCCGTCCTGCCTGCCAGAGGGCTGGCTTTGCCGCTGCAGCTCCTGCCTGCGCCTGGGC